ACTAGCCTTGCACCTGGTGAAGTACTCCCACCATACCTGGGATCTTTATATGGTGTCGAACGTCTTGGGAAGTCGATCAGATTAGTAAAAAAAAAGATCGAAAAAAACGATCGTTAGAAAAACGGGAGCGCGTTGCAAGGTTAGGTTAATTACATGCAGAAAAGTGTTCATTTCAGTAATCTGACGATTCGAGCCTGACATAAAGAGATGGGAAAGCCACAAAGTTGCAAGAAAATGTCACCTGGACATTGTCGAGCGCGTTTAATTTTTTTTTTCATTTTGAATAAAACTATTCACGGATCACGGAAATAACATAAGCCAAAGTAGCAAATCATCAATTTGGTGGATTTATGCAGCAACATACAACAATAAGACATAGGTTCGAATCCTAGTTAGGCCATGGATGTATGTGTTTGTATGTATACCTAACCCCGCACAAGTTTCGACTTATGGGGCGTTTGGTCCTAGTGCTGAGACCAACGAGGTATGCAGTTGCAAAAAAAAATTATCAAGTAACATTTATCAATAAACAATTATGAATTAACAAGTGATGATAATATTGACATTTATGCATACCAAATCAACAATTAATAAATAGTACGCGGACGCACATGCTCGAAATTTGGGCTTTCAAGACCATAACCCCGCATATTTGTTGTTTACAATTTTCCTAAGAAGCTGAAATTTAGAATTTCGAAATGTTTTCTGATCTGGAAGATAGCATTGGTTACGTTTCTTCACGATTATTTTATCGATTGCTATTGTTTTATGTTGACAATTCCACTCTTGATCTCGAGAACCAATCAGAATCGACCATTTTCACGGTTTCTTCTGTATTCTAGCGATATTTTTCATTTATTAAATTTTATCGGACTTGCTCTACCAATACAGAAGCCGAATTGACCCACACGTGACCAACAAACCTCGTTTATCAGCGATAAAATTTTGACATCGTGTCTGGTCAAGATTGCTTTGGATTCAAATCTGAGACAATAACTCAAGTTCCTACTTTATTTTATTTACTTATATTTCGCGTTAGTGAGATATTTTGTAGCAAAGGCGAGACAATTTTATTCTGGACGTTTCATGTGTAATTTGAAAAGTTTGCATATTTGTTAACTTTCTGACACAACAATACTAGAATTCAAATTCCTCTTTAAAGTAATATTTTTCAATCACTCAAGTTATTGTGACTGACTAATATAATTACTAGCCGATGTAGCGCAACCGATTGGGTTGTTGCGTGTGGATACGAAGGTCGATGGTTCGAGCCCTCGGCGACAATATCTTTTTTTTTATTATTCCATGTCACATGATTTCTTTTCATTTTGTTTGAATTGGATAGCAATTGTATACACTCTTTTGAGAGCAACCATGTCCAAGATAATAAAAAAAATACTGTTTATCAAGATTGTACATTCCACTTTGTGAATAACTATAAGTAGGTAGTTAATTTCTAAAAAAATAAATTCTGTATTTCATCGTTATCATTATGTTCTTCTTCGCAGTTCGAGTTGGAATATACTTAAATTATGTTTCCTATTTCTTATATATATTGTCTCATTCAATCATAAAATAGTCATACGAATACAACTCGTGATACTATTTTTCCTAGAAATATTCGTCGATTGACATACTCCAGCTTGCTACTCTAATTTCGCTCATGACATTGATCCAAAACTACTCGCCTACGGCTCGTAGTTTTGATAACAATGTCATTCACGAAATTACTAGGCAACAAGCTGTCGTAACAATCACCGAATATTTCCGGCAAAATATTATCACTTGTGGTATTATATATGAAACTATATTCATAACATCTGTCAGATATCAGGTCTGGGTCTGACCAATCTCATGCTTCCCCTATCAATCTTTGAAACCAATCCGCGGTCATCTGCGTTCTAGTTGCGCACTAGAGGAAAACCTGGTTCAATTAAAGTAAATGTGGATTTATGCAGCATCATTTAACAATTATCAAGTAACATTTATCATTAAACAAGTAGTAATTAAAAGTTGAACTTCCTGTTTTCAATGAAGGTGTTTATGCAGACATTTAACAATGATCAATTAACAAGTAAGAAGTTGGCCAACTTTTAACTTTCTTACTTCAATTGAACCAGGTTTTCTTCTAGTGCGCAACTAGTACGCAGATGGACGCGGATTGGTTCCATCGACTGGTAGAGAAGGCTTGGATTGGTCAGACCAATATGCCAGACCTGATATCTGACAGATGTTTTAAAATTTGTTTTAACATAAAACAATCGCACTCGTCAAAATAATTGTGATTGCAAGTAACCCAGTCTCTTCCAGATCAGAAAACATTTTGAAATTTGAAATGTTAGCTCCTTATGTAGATTGTAAACAACGAATTTTTAAGGTTATGTCTTTGATTTCCTTGATTTAGGGCATGTGCGCTTGCGTACTACTTTTTTATCAATTGTTGATTTGGTATGGATAAATGTCAATATTCTCATCACTTGTTAATTGATAGTTGTTAATTGATAAATGTTACTTGATAATTGTTAAATGTTGCTGCATAAATCCACCTTAAGTGTGCGCGCGTGCAGTAGCTAGAAATCATCTTTTTCCACTTAAAGCCACTCTGACCTCAATCTTTCTTCATTTCTCACTATCTTTCTGTTGAACTGGAATATGTATAAATATACAGGGTGTTCCATTTGAAAAAATGAAGTTGCTGGTATTTCCAGAGGCTATGTAGCAGAATAGCGTCAGTCAAAATAGCGCTTCAAAAATAGCGCTGCGACAAAATAGCGCTGGACAAAACAGCGCCGCACAAAAATAACGCAGATCAAAAACGGCGGTGGACGAAATAGCGCTCGAAAAAATAGCGACATGACATAACAATTAAGAATTTTTCCTCGGTGCATTATCACGACAATAAACTGTTCATTATGAGGCTTAATCAATAAATTGAACAATGTCGAATAATTGAAGTACAAAGTAACAATATTTTATAGATTCACGAAAACATGGAAACAACTAATTGTCAGTGTCATATTTATTCATAGTCATAAAAAATGCAATTCGGCACGTCTCAGAAATCAGAAAGGAGGTACTACATTATTCCACGAAGGGTATAATTACCGAAAGGACAAGCAACGTGAAGGTCACAGCACATGGCGATGTAAGGTTGATGCTCAACGGTGATACAGCAAAACCAACCACGGAACATAACCACGCGCCAAATCCCGTAGAGAAAGTAATCAGGATAGTGAAAGAAACTATACGCGAAGGAGCTTCTAAAACGGATGCAAATCCAAGAGAAATCATACAACAAGCTTGCAGCAGTGTAATTTCGGAAGAAGTGGCTGTTAGTCTTCCAAGCTATGAGGCATCACGCAGAACAGTGCAAAGAATAAGAAACAAGGAATTTTTAAGTTCTTCAGTATTTAACAATATTCCTGAAGGGAGAATGGACGACAAATATTCTAAAACGGACAGAGGTGAAGTTTTCTTACTGTGGGATTCAGGAAAAGAAAACCGAAATAGACTTCTGATTTTCGGGACCTACAATAATCTCGATTTGCTCAAAGAATTTCCGCACTGGGCAATAGACGAAACCTTCAAGACCTGTCCAACTTTGTTTTGTCAATTATTCGTTATACATGCATTAATTGACTCGAAAGCTGTACCACTAGTATATGCTCTGTTGCCAAATGAATCAGAAGGTATTTACGTTCAAGTGTTTAATACCCTAAAAATCTTAGATGCTGAACTGAAGCCTGAAACTATACTTGTTGATTTTGAACAATCGTCTATCAACGCAGTGAAAATAGTATTCTCCAACTCACGTATTGTCGGTTGTTCTTTTCATCTGGTGCAGAACTTATGGAGGAAAATAAAACATTTTCAATTAACGAACCTATACAGAGACAACGAAAACATAAGAACAAAATGTAAGATGCTTCTTGCTGTCAGTTATATCCTAGAAAAAGACGTGCAGTTCACACTGGAAATCATTCGTGAAAACTTTCCTGATGAAATAATGCCGGTGATCGACTATTGGGAAGATAATTACGTTGGTAAGAGGATTCATAATATCAACCCTCGATTCAGTATAAATTTATGGAATCAATATGAGCGGGTGAAAAACGATTTGCTAAAAACAAATAATTCCCTTGAAGCATGGCACAATTCCTTACAGAAAGGTCTAAACTGCCAGCATCCTCATGTATACAAATTTATCAATCAATTGAAAAAGGAACAAAAGTCTTCAGAAATCTTCGTTACAAGATACCGTTCAGGATTTAGGAAAAAAGACAGCCCTAACAATAAATACGTCCAGCTAAAAAACAGGTTGAAAACCTTGGTTCAAACGTATGCCTTCAATAACGTCGAACAGTATTTACAATCTGTGGCTCATAATTTGTCCATGTAATTTTTTTTGTAATTGTTAAAAACTTTGTTTTGTATTAAGATTGATTTCGAAAACTTGATTTTTCAATCACGTCCTATTCCAATAGTTGATTTTCTAAGAATATTTTACCCGGCGTTATTTAGTCGCAGTGCTATTTGAACCGACGCCATTTTGTCCGCCGCTGTTTTCGTTCGGCGTTATTTTTGTGCGGCGCTATTTTGTCCAGCGCTATTTTGACTAACGCTATTTTAACCCAGCGCTATTTCGTAGCGCTATTTTGTCCAGCGCTATTTCGACTGACGCTATTCTGCTACAGAGCCTTTCCAGAAAAAACGGAAGTCCGCCATATTGGATTACAATCAAATCCGAAATGGAACGAGAGGAGGAAGTATGGGAAGGAAGGCATGTACCACCCGAAATGGTAAATATCCCAAGACTGTGAAAGGGCCAATTCTATCAGTGAGTTTTGTAGTTAAGCAAGTCAATAATCGTTCATACCCGGAAAAAGTAACTGTGCAAGTGAAAAACTTGTGAAAATCCCATCGCCTCTGGCCAAGCTATCATTTCAAGTGCCGGTTTTTCGTACTTACATCTGCAAACATATTCAATCACTCTCATACGATCATAAAACGCACACGGCATACGGCTCCGTTTCGAACGTTTGCCTCAAGATGGAGCTGAAAATCAGCTCCGCATTGCACACTATCCGCATCTTGTCCTTCTTGTTCCTCAACAAATCGGCGACCAGATGCAAATCGTCCTCGTGAGTGACGATGAAGTAGCTGAAGGGCGAGTTGATCGCGGTGGCCTCGATTTGCGTCGAGCTCCTTCGGTGCTTCTCGACTATGCCGCCCGAGCATCGAATCAAGTCGGCGACGATTCTCTTGCTGGGGCAGACGCTCGGAGTGACGAAGAAGAACTTGCCCTCGAACAGCCTGTAACGAACGAGGATCTTGAGCAAGCAATGCTATTAATAATAATCTCTTTATTGCGAAAACGATCAACATGGACACAACAAACGTCAGGGGTTACAGAACAATCTAAGCTACCTGTCGCATTCACATCATCGGTTTAAAATTACATTTCTAAATACATAATTTCCTACATGTTATACAGGGTATTTCAAAAAAACCTAACCCCCTTGCTAGGGTAGGTAGAACACTGCAAAATAAGTTGGGACAGTAAAAAAATTTCGTAACGCCATCCGTTTTCAAGATACAAGGTGTTGAAACAATATTTTTTTTACACATTTTTTACGATTATGTTGAAACTACTGGCAACATTGTGATGAAATTTTGTATGGATGTTTCTTGGAATCTGACACATCGCATGCATTTGTTTTTATATCTGACTCTCATAGAGGGCGCTCGTTACACGGTTCGTACCGAGTATATTTGAATATAACTTTTTTGATGTGAACTTGAACATTTTTCAATTTCACACCAAAAAGGTACTCTTGGTAAAACTCGAAACTGTGTTACGGTTTTATTTTGCACTACGAATTCTCCGTTATTATTATTCTGGAATCATTGAATTTCGTGTTCTTAAGTATCAGATCGATGTCACACTCGGTATCATGTTCACTGTGCTATATGATAACTTCATGTTATGCTGTATTATGAACTATCTTTCAGTATTTCGCCTCACTGTACTCACCTTTATTTCAAACAATTTCGCATACATTATATTATGTGCTCAGTAAGATATCATTTAAATATAATGATCCATCATTGTTTACTTTATTTTTATTTCAATGAATAAATCAATTGACAATCGATTTCTGATAATTATAAGTCAATATTCAATGACAGAGTTGACAGATAACATGTGAGATATTTTCTTAGTACAGATACTTTCTTTCTGACCCGAGATGGGTCCATAATACGTCAGCGATAGTTCGTCTTAAGAACACGAATGTCTGCAAGCAGTTGTGAAACCGTAACTTTTTCCTCAGCAGCAACACGAATAGTTGTTCATCAAATGTTTATCCGGATGGTGTAAGCACTGATCAGATTTTGTTTGTCGAGTATTTATTCCGGATGAATATCAGTTTAGTTCGAGATCTGAGTAAATGCCTTAGTGGTTGTTATAAACTTTAACTGAGTGTAGGATCCGAACTCACGATAAAAAGTTTCATGGATGATTTCACACTTGGAGTCTGCTCGCACCATCCTTATAAATTATTCAGCGCCAGCCAACAGTCATCACGAAAATACTGTCTGCACCGTTCATTTAAGTTTAATATGTCACAGAACTATTCTCAGATTCCTGTATGATCTAAGGAATCAGTTTCGCGTATAAATCAATATAAATCGATGCAATTGACAGCAGTGACATTTCATATTTTTGATATCTGACATTTCAATTTTTCACTTTTGATTCTTCCTTGGTACTTGTGGGAGTGTATGGCCGATTGAAATATCTCCATCGAATTATTCGATCATCTCTGTATGGATTTGGAGAATTTCAACATTATATGATTCATTACGTATCGGACCAATATTGGATGTTTGTATTTTGAATGAAATCATATTTTCTGCTCTGCAGGATATAAAGCCAAAGTAAGTTTTTTTTTGAGGTTAATATTTTCAGACTTGTAAGTTTCTTTTTATAACTTCAGAGCTCCTGTCTTGTCTATCCAACAAGTATCATTGTGGAAATAACTGACACAGACAATCCACAACATCGGAATTGTTAAAATAACCCTCAGCTACAAAAGAGGTTAGTATTATCTTTGTCAGTCAGCATGATCATTATGCAATCAATTGAAGTGAACTCAGACTAGTATTGTTTATTTTTAGGGTCCTAGTCCTAGTCCTAGTCTTAATTCTAGTCCTACTCCTAGTTCTTGCAATAGGCATAGGCTTCATCCCACTATTAGGACTCTAGTACTACTGTTCATCCTAGTCCCTGGTCATTGTATGTCTGGACCATAGACTCGTGCTGTTTTTTTTTTTCATTGGTTAACAAGAATACCTGCAGTTTTGCTGTGTCTTCGACATCGAGCAGTCTGCCAGTTGAGGCCTGATTGCCTTGACCAGAGAGAAGAGGGATTCAATCATAAGTAACGCCATAGGAGCTCCACTGAGCATTCAGATAAGTCTGTCAAACCATAAAACATCAGGGAATGTCCCTTATACATGTGTAATAGTTTACATTCAATATTAAGTTGTACGCTATCCCCGTGACGTCACATGAATAGCCCTCCTTAGGACCTTCCCTATATTTGTATCAATTTAATATACAAAACTATATATATCTGAAATCTGAATGCTCCCTTGAATGCTACTTCTCTTACATAACTATATATGGTGTTATCATATGATTTGAATAGATAGTTTCAAGGTGTATGACTATTATTTCTTCATTAATCAACCCCAGGGTACTTGAAAATTTTACCAGATATTTGTAAATTGTTGACTCTACCGATAGCAGTGGTTTATCCCTTTCATCAGGGTGGTTTCTGATTTTGGCTAGCGAAAAATCAGTGGCGCACCGGAAAATTTACCCCTTCATTATATACTGTTACTCATATAATTCAAAAATACATGAACCGTACCCACACCCTAACTGAGCAGCTGGGAGGGTTAGTGGCAAGTACTTTATCTTTTGCATGAACCCTGCTTATCAAAACCTTGCCCCTAACAGATTGGCGCCCACCTTTTTTTTAAGTGAAAAACTGGTAATTATTTCATTTTTCTTTATCAGGTACCTTGGGTTGGATGTTTTTTTTGTAATTTGAAGAAAACATAGTCATAGTACCTATTTATTTTCTGAACTGGTGATAGGAAATCAATATTTCTGATTTGATTATCTTTTTTCTGATTTGAGATCCTACATCCAATTCTTTTGAAAATTGAGATTGAAAACCTCTGATAGGTACTACCCTTGTTTTGTGTTTTGAAAATTGAAGTGTGACTTGAGAATTTTTTTTCGCTTTAGATTTGCACTTGACTTCTGGTAGACTATAAGTATAGATCATTTCGGCGTCTACAGAAGTGCTTGTTTTTTTTGGTTTGTGGAATTTTTGGTATTCTCAAGGTCACTTTTCATTTTGTCAAACATTTATTTTTGAGAATAGTTATTGCTGATTCTCCACACGATTTTTTTTCGTCGTATTTTGAATTTTGCTTTTTTCAAGTTGGATTTTTTGAATTTTACGTCGCGACGCCTACCGACGCCCAGCGCCGTTTATCAAAAAGTGCTTAATTTCGATATATTTCGGTATCGTGGTCATTTTTATACAGTTTTCAGCTACCGACGCTCACCGACGCCAACCGACGCCAGACGTCGTTTTTCTAATTTTTGTATTTTCTTACATTTAGGGTCATTGTGAGTAAGATTTTGATACTTTTAATTTTTTTTCGGTGATTTTTAAGATTTTTTTTGAAATGACTTCGACCAAAATAAAATTAGATGTTGGTTGTTTGACTAGAGAAGAGTTGGTATATGAAGCACAAATTCGAGGTCTTGGTGATGGCACTGATTTAACTGTTGCTGATCTTAGAGTAGCATTGAGGAAAACTCTATCTTTGGAAAAAACTACCCTAGCTATCAAAAGCTCGGCATATCCTTTCAAATTTTCTGAAGATTCTGCAGCTATTTCTGAAAATATTGGTACTTTACAGAATCTTATTGATGATTTCTCAGGCACGGAAAGAGATCACAGATATAAAGGTATATGTTCAAAAATTGCTCATATCTTAGGTCGTATAAATAGGTGTAGTCCTCAAGATGATGCACAGAAGAAACTTAAGGCTGATTATCGAGTGCAATTGTTACTGTTATTGGATAAATTGCAAGAAAAGGCTCGAAAAGGTCATAAGGATCCTTCTGTCATTGATATTTCGGTTTTAAGACAATCTTTAGCAGCACCTAATGCTCATAGCTCTGTTGTTAGCTCTAGTGATTCTTCCAGTGATGAAGATGAGCCTGTGAAAGTTCGACCTGTTCCAGTTCGTGACTGGGGTCTGAAATTTACAGGAAAGCCTGGTATGATGTCATTTTGTACTTTTGTTGAGAAAGTAGGTGCGATGAGAAAGTCACGTGGTATAACAAAATCGGTTTTATTCAGGGATGCTGCGGATCTATTTGAGGGTGATGCATATACTTGGTATAATTTAGTTAAAGAATGGGCTACTGATTGGGAATCGTTGGTTCGATTAATGCGACAGCAGTTCTTGCCTGCTAATTTTGACAAGGATTTATTTGAAGATATTAAACGTAGGACACAAGGTCCTAAAGAGAGCATTGGTTTGTATGTTGCAAGTATGAAAAGTCTCTTTAATAAAATGCAAACTCCTGTGTCAGAAGAAGTGCAGCTCACTTTAATAGTAGAGCGGATTGATCCGTATTATCAACCATTCTTGGCTTTTAGACAAATAGGTTCAATTACTGAACTTATTGAACTTTGTCGTTCCCTTGATGAAAAACGAGACTTAGCAAGATCTTATATACCCCCACCACCTAAGAATAGATCTCTCATTCCAGAGTTAGCTTATGCGTCTTCCTCAGATAATAATTGTAATTCCATATCAGACTTGGCCTCAGATTTAGCTGAAGTATCTGTGGTTAGTTGTTTTAATTGTGGTAGTGACAATCATACATTCAAGGGATGTTTGGCACCTAGAAAGAAATTTTGTTTCAAGTGTGGGAATCCTAATGTAACGGTTCGTGATTGCCCAAAATGTTCTAGACCTAGTACAAGTAGATCAAATAATAATCAGAATAGGAATCAAAACCCTAGACCAAGACCATCAAATGGTAATGTTCCGGAAAACTCTGCGAGGAGATCTTAGATGGTCAAGTAATTTCTCCTCAGTCAAATGATTTGACCATTTCTATGTTAGATTCTAGGAAGCAAATTATTCTTGATTATGTATTGTCTACTGTTTCGGGTGATGAACGTCCATACCTTGATGTTTCTATTTTAGGG